AACAGAAGTATAACAGAGAACTATCTATTTCGTCACGATATGTCGGAAACATGGAATTTTCTGACAATTTCGTCGAGATCAAAAAGTATTATCGAATCGTCGAGTGGTTATTCCTCTTTGACGCGCGAGTGGAAACTAATAAAAAAGGGAGAAGAAACCGTGTCGATCGAGAGATATTCTCGTAGAGGAGAGGCTCTCACGTCGTCCGACATCCTTTGCTCGTTAACTTAATTTCGAGTAATTAGAAGAGCCGCTGTCGACAACTTTTACCGCGTCTTCATTCGACCTAATTTCGCGGTCACCGCTTTCCTTCTGTTTTCCCTCTCGAATTTCGCGTCCCGTCGGCCCGTGTTCTCCCTGAATCTAGAATTTCAGTTCTGCTCAAACGAAAAAACATGCCGCGGGACTGGGAATACGGAATCAATCTCAATAAATTTTCGCTAGTGGATTTGTGCGACGAATTTTTCGTTCCGATGTTCCTGCGTACGATTTTGCCAGAGTGGAATAACGAGATGGTAGGAAATTTTTAAATAAATCTTCTAACTCCGTTATTTTATCTGCGTAGATAAGAAGATGATAGAATTATCGTTGCAAATGTTGCAAATGAGCATGAAGAATTAATTACAGACTTGCTTAATTTTCGAAATATTTCAAGCTCTCTATATTTTTCAGATTATGTTTATTTTTGAATTAAGTTTCCAGTGAATGAATAGTCACAAAAAAACTTCTGCAACTTTACGAACTTTTTCTTTTACCATCAAAATATCTAGAGTCTGATAGTGCCTAATGATAATAATCTGGCAAAAGAATAAAACTGAATGAAACTCTGAAATAACTCTGTAATCGAAGACGATCATCACAAACTCTATTCTACAAAAAAGTAAAATTGGCTACAAATTTTCTTTCTATTATTCCATTCGTCTCCACTCCAAAAAAAGAAGGAAAAGGACGAAATCACATCAATTAATTTCGCACTCTCAAGCCCGAGTCTTCTTAATACAATATTCAATCAATTAGAACAGTTCCCGAGCGACTCGACTCGTCCTAAAAACACCGTCCACCTAACCCATCGCTCTCCCAAGAACTTCTCGCTACCAATTGAAACGTCCCGATGAAATCTTAATTTCAATTAATTTCGTTTGAGTGGCAACGGTGGAGGTCCATTGTGTCCAAGTTAGTCGAGCGTCAATTCAAGAACGATCGTCGTGCCCGTTAATGCGGATCGTCGGGATCGACTGGTCGGGGACGAAGGTCGGCGAAGAGAACACGTCGTTTCAACGATGGTTGCCTCGTCGTTCTGGAGGGTGACCCGTCGGGACTAAGTGGTCTCGTTCAGGACCATTGGCTGCATCGGTTGGCTCCTCGGTACCTACGACACTCGTGCTGACACTTCACCGAAGGAGATGAAGCACACTCCCCCTCATCGTCCCCCGTCGCTCCTCGTCGTGCTTTCGGTAAGCTCTTCAGATGGAAATCGATCGAGCCATCCTCCACTACGCGAGTCGTATCCGATCCCTAACGTCGATTAAATCCGCGGCCTGTCGATTTATTCGAACCTCGAACTCGCTTCGCGTTCGGCGTGTTAATCGCGAAGATTCTTCGATTGATTCCTGGAATATCTGATCCCTGACTGAATATAATTTGGTGCTTGATTTTAATGAGATTCTCGTGCGAAGGATTCCTACGTACAAGCAGAGGATATTTTTCAATCTTTCAATTTAGATCTCATGAAAGAATGAAACTCCAAGCGTCTCTTAAATTCCTGAATTCTCGCAAATGCAGCCGTTTATTTAGAATTAAAACACTTGGAAATATGGAAGAACAGAGGTTTACGTTGCTCTCCACTCACTTTGTTTAGCAATTTCCTCTATGGTTATTAGTCTACTTTGGCCTTGGCCTTGGCGTTAGTCTTCAGCCTTGGCCATTTAAACAACTGAAATAATTTTACTTTCATGTATATATATAAATTGTATATATAAATTAAAGTATATATATTGTACTGAAACAAAATTCCTGTGACTGTTTTTATCAAGGATACTGTATATCAAGCAGTTAACAGTAGATTTACAATTACTCCACGAGCAATTCGCGCACGAATCTTGCACGCGTGCATCCTGCTGTTTCCTCGACAAATTTACTTTAATTGGTCGTCGAGCAAGAGGGATTATCGATCGCGAGATGAAAGTTTGGCGCGCTGCAATCGTGATTTCCGTGGTGAAAAACACGCTGAAGAGTGGAGAGGGAGAGCGGGTGAACGATGGCATTAGTCGGAATGAAAGAGTCCTTTTTCGGAGGTTCGCTATGATTTATGGGCGAAGAAAAGATCCACTGGATTCAACAATAAGTATCAAGATAACAAATCGTTTGCGGGATTGAATTATGTTGCTTTATAAGGGAGCGTGTAATATTTCTCTTGAGGAATGATTTAATTTTGTAGAAAATATCCCGGCTTTGCGAGTATGTAGCATGCACGATATCTCTGAAGTGATTTCTAGATCAGCTTCAACTACTGTAAATGCAGAATAATGCATATTACATAGTGGAATGAAGTTGAGATTCTTTGAGAAATCGATACTTATCAGTTGTAATTCTCTCGGAATGAAACTCAACGACTGTAACAGCTACTTTTAAACGATAACTTGCAAAATATTATCACGAAAGAGACTGACGCAAAACACTAATGAAATTTTCGCATGAACGTCGATGAAATCCAGCAACTTTTAAGCTTAAAATATCTCGTCCGAGTGTTGAACAATTTAGAAGAAGAATCCGTAAGAAATCAAGTAACTTTCATTTAAGATGTTTCTCCGTGTATCTCCGATAATTTGCACGAGGATGAAACGACTTTTATTTAAAATGCTCACTCCGAACTTTACAAGGGACTTTACGAAAATGAATAATTTTAACTAAGACTGACAACAGTAAAAACATTTCCCCGAATGTTCGACAATTTGAGAGAAGAATCGGAAGGAATGAGGTAATAACTCCCGTTTATAAACGCGCTTTCTTCAATTTTAAAACGACAGTTAAAAAGATGATGATCTATCGTCCATTTAAAACATTTCCCCAATTTTCAACGAACCATATCGTAACTGGACACACATCGTACAAAGAGAATCACCCAAGCAGCGAAGTCGAGCCACGCACGAGCTCCGCTCGACTTTATCTCCAGAGCAAACTCTTCCAAACGATCAGGCAACAAGTGCCCTCGGTGGCAGCCAAAAAATTCGCAACGTAGCCGAAAACAACTCCGCTGAGCCCGGAGCCAAATAGATCTCGCGATCTCTTTTTCTCCTTTCTTTTTTCTTTTTCATTTTTTTCCTCTCACCCGCCGGCATAAAAAAAAAAAAAAAAAAAAAAAAGCGAAGGCAGGTCGTTCTGAGGATCGACCTGCGACGAGCATCGAGCGGCAGAATGAAGCTGGGGAAAACGCGAAGGAGGCAAACGCGCGGAGGTTTACGGAGCCAGGGGGATGAATATGGAGCGGATGGGTGCGATTGCTGCGACTACGGCTGCAGAGTCGGGGGCCACGAGAGGAGAAACTAGGTCAGTGGAGCGGATGGTGGCGCGTGGGCCGCCGGGATGGCACACACCTTTTCGACGTCGCCGCATAAAACACCACTGCAGCATCAAACATCACACTCTGGACGGTGATTGGGGGTGAGAGGTCAGTGACTCCGTGCACGGCCGCTGCTTCCTCGCCTCGGCTGCGTCGTTTCCGGCCGCATTCGTCGTTGCCGCATGCGGTCCACGCGATCCTAGCCAACGCGCACTCCCTTCCTCCTGACACACGACAACTCTGCACTTCGTTCCGCTGGATTTCGTCTACTGGAAGATCAAGACCCTCGATAGTTGACGACAGACAGATATACGTCGCGTTTCCTCCAGGTGTTCTCTTCTTTCTTCTTTTCAACGACGAGATTCTTCTCTGTCGCGAGACGCGTCTCTTCGGATCCTTTCAACAAATTAACGATACGACATGGCTTCTGTTCTTGACGAAACGCGCTATTCTCTGAGATTTTTTTACAACGCTTTCTTCTGCTGTTGAAAAGAATTTCGAGCAGATTTATGGGGGAGAGTAAGAAGCCGATACAACGATATAATGCTACACTAAGTTTCGTCGCTTCGGTATTCTTCACGAGACACTTCTGTCTGCCGAGATTTTCTCTCAGACGACTATAGGATTAAGAAGGACCAATGATATTACGGTCAACACCAGTTACGAGAGATACGGTGATTTTCATTAATTCGAAAGATACTGTTTTTAGTTCCAAGGCAAGGGAAGTATAAGGGAAGATTGATGATAAAAGGATGGTGAATTGCTTTGACGTCGGAAGTTTTCTCGAAGACTTCTCAGATAGGCTACCTCGAAGGTTTTTCGACCTTGTTTGAAAAGTTAGCGGATATTGCTTTCTTCTACCCGTACGAGATTACTATGTTATCGAAAATTGATGGAGCGAGGCGTGTATGTTTCACGTTCCTTTTTTTTTTATCGAAAAGAAACATTAGATATCGTTCGATGTAATGTGTTTCGGTCACAAGATCTAATTTCTTGGAATTCGATTGTTCTCGGCGTCACTTCTCTCGTTTACACACAAACAGATATTCCTTCCAATCACGCACGACGTTCTCTTGCCCGTCGATTTCAATTGTATCAAACTGCTCCTCGCTCCTTTAATTTTATTTACTCACTTAAAGTGCTGCCGCGCCACTTTTATCAGATTCTGGAAAACTCGTTTTAGCAAGCGTCAATGGATATTCAACGCTCCTTGGTACTTTTTACACAGCAAGTGCCCCGTGTTCGTCTTTGCAGAGGATCAAGTCGCTAGAGACGACACGTTTCTGGCACCAAAAAACGTTAATCCCCTCCGGAGTTTCGGTTTTTCTTCTTTCTCTTCTGAGAGGATAATATTAGATCAGACCTGTGCTCGCTGATTTTTGCAGGACTATCACGACACAATGGACCTCAGTCTTCTGAATATTTAATATTCAACGATATCTCTTTCTCTTTTTCTTTTTTTTTTTCTTAAGAAAAATCTGTCAGTATTTTGTGAATTCTACAAGATAGATTATTCGAGTCAACGTTTAACAGCTAACAGTTTTCCGTTGGAACACATTGGGCAATAGTACGCTAACTTATTTGTATTGGTATACAATTTCCTTGTGGCTAATTCTCTAATAATACTTCGTCAAAAATTGTTCCAAAAACTCCTGTCACTAAATTTGATGTTTCATCGATACGCTCGATACTTCAGTCTCGTTTAGTAGCGCGTGATACTCAATTCTCTCTGCCGAGGTTGAAAAGTGTTCATCCAAATCAACGTGACTTCGTTGTAAAATTTCAAAATGCATTGCACATTGTTTTCACCTTCGGAACAATATTATTCAAGTATCTGGTTAATAAAATCTTATTTTTTCCTCTTCTTCTATCAGTAACGTAATTAGAACATCCTCTTCCAACTTTTATTTTTATTTTTGCCTATAATAGTCTTTTCTTTATTATTCTCTTTCAAAATTCCTCCACTGTGTTGCGTTAAAACACGAATTATTACTAGGTCAAAGATCATTGGTTAGCCATTTATAACTCTCGACTGTTGACTTGTTTCGATTGTCTCTCTTTCCCTCTCTCTCGAGAAATTCTCAATTTTATCCAGAGCTACAAAGTTGTCACGTAGGGGTCAATTCACCCAGATAAAAATAATTTACAATTCGCAACTCTCGATCATCGACCATCGACTCTTAAATACTGTTTGACGCACTGTTTTTTTTTTTTTTTTTTTTTTTTTTTTCCTTTAAAAAAAAAAAAATTTTATTTTATTAATTTTTTTTTTTTTTTTTTTTTTTTTTTTTTTTTTTTTTTTCTTTTTTTTTTTTTTTTTTTAAATGC